GCTTGTGAATGACTTAAGTGGTGAAATAGCTCATTAACCATTTCCCCTTGGATTATGGGGGTGTCGTTCTGCTCCTCATTCCTATCCTCCGGCACAGGGGTCCATGTATTCAGAGAGCAACCTGTCTTGTCATTAAAGACCGAGGCAAAGAAGGCATTGAGTACCTCAGCCTTTTCCTCATCCTTTGTCACAATGTTTCCCTGTGTATCCAATAAGAGATAAAGATTCTCCTTCACCCTCCTTTTGTTACTAATGTATTTATAGAAGCATTTTTTATTGCCTTTTACTGATACAAGATTGAGTTCTACCTGGTCTTTAGCCGTTCTAATTTTCTTCCTGCGTAGCCTCATGAGGTCTTTGTAGTCCTCGTGCATTGCCTGTCCCTTCTTCCACAGATCTTAAACTCTCCTTTTTTTCCTGAGCTCCAGCCTAAGCTCCCTGTTCAGCCAGGCCAGTCTTCTTCCCCACCAGCTCGTCTTCTGGCAGATGGGGACAGCCTACTCCTGTGCCTTTAAAATTTCCTTCTTAAAGAGTGTCCAGCCTTCCTGGACTTCTTTACCCTTTCATTAGTGCCTTCCAAGGTACTCTGCCAACCAGACTTCTGAATAGTCCAAAGTCTGCCCTCCAAAAGTCCAAGGTGGCAGTCCAGCTGACACCTCTCCTAACTTCTCCAAGAACAGAAAACTCTATTATTTCTTCAAAGGAGAAGTGTTCCAACCCTCTGATAATTTTTGTGTCCCTCCTCTGGACCTGCTCTAACAGGTCCATGTCTGTTTTGTGATGGCATCCTCAGAGCTGGACGCAGTAATCCAGGTGGGATCTCACCAGAGCCAAGAATCACCTCTCTCAACCTGATTGATCAGAAAAAAATGAGCTGTTGCTGTTTTCTGAATTCCCAGCGGTGTATTTATGTGTATTTAAAAATCTATCACCTTCCAAAAGCAAACGTCAACCAGACCTCAAAAATTTGGAAAACAGAAGATCAAACTTCCCGTTCCAGTTCAGTCTTTGGGGCAAATTCTTGAAGGATATCTTTGGGTATGCTGGCCCAAGATAAATACTTCTGTCAGACAACAGATTTAATTCATGCAGGCATTATCAGACAGCTTTCTATTAATAAAGCTGCACTGTACACTGTGGCATTTATTTCTAAGATGACTGTGGGCTGGTAATTCATTTGTTCTTCATTTGCCTTGCACAGAGTGAATTTAAGTCACTAAGTGGAACTTGTTTTGTACAGGAAAAAGCTGCAATCAAAAGAGAGGAGGAGAGCGTGTGATCACAGCTTTTCAGATGTGGAGATGCATTTTCCAATTATCAATTGTTCTTTTTTGAAATAAGATTTATATTAAGCTGCTTTCAAATATTTAAATAACTTGTATGCATTGTATGGGAGCAGAGATGACATTTTAGTATCAGGGAAGTTTTGTATAAAATTATTTTCTACAGAGTCCTTGTCTAGTGTCAGAATTTTCTCCAAAATCTTTTTTTTCATGCTAATCTCAATGTCATGCCTGCATCCACACAAACAGAGTTCCTGTTGATGTATCATGTCAACATAAAATAAGAGGAAGTTGTACTTAGTTGGGATACCTTGATACTTTTCTCCGTTGCATTTCTTGGTTATACATGCTGTCATAATCCAAATTCTGCAGGTTGGGCTTTTTCTGGGATGACCCACAGCGTTATCACTAGAAATCTCACTGGGCTCTATGTTCATATTTACAGCTTTAGTACACTGCAAGCCTCCTAAATCTTTAAAGTTACACAACTTGCCTAAGTTGAGTTTCAACAATGCAATATTTTGCCAATCTTCTGTTGCCTCTCCCAGCATCATTACCTTTTAGGTGCAGAGTAGTTATGGTCCCTGGGCTAAACTATGCTTTTATTTATATGTTTCAGGTGACTTGCTACGTATCAGTAACAGTTATAAAAGGATTATGATTTTATTTTTTACTTTACAGAAGGAGACTGGAAGATTACTGTAGTCACCGGGGATTTTGAAACAGCTGGCACAACAGCAACAGTATCCCTTTATGTGTATGGAGAAAACAAAGCTTCTGGTCCTATTATTTTGGGATCTGGGAAACACCAGCTGTTTAATCCCAACAGTGAAGATACATTTAAGGTAAGTATGGCTGTTATATAAACACTGGAGAATTAGTAACGTATGCAAAATAGCTTTTCTCAAAACTGGATGATAGCAGTAATAAAAAGGACTCAAAGCAATATGTAGAGATCATCAAGTATTTCTGAGGGAGTGGCTGATTTTTATGATGGTAAGATTTGAATCAGGAAATGTATTCAGAACTGCATCAGACAGACATGCATCTCAGAATCAGCTTCATAACTGCTTGATGTGCATCTGCTTGATGAACAACTAGTTTTAACTAGATATTCTTCATTTGCAGAGATAGAAAAAACTTTCTTTGCCTGTTCTTTGCATTGATTTAATAAGATAGTCCTGGCTATGGCTTGTGTTGCATATTCATCTTTGTAAGCACCCACTGTAAATTCTTCCATGGGCTTCCTCAGATTTCTGCAGAAGCACAATGTCATGCGAATCTTTTCTTGGAAAAAGTAGGAAAGGAGGGATGGCTAGGGACTGAGTCAGTTAACTCGGGTGATTTAAACTAGTGGTGTCCTACTTCTCCAAGCAAATGGGGAGACCTCTCTCTTCAGAGAAACCTCTGAGAGATGCTTCAGAAGCATGAAATATCCCAGGGTTTCTCCAAGTTCCTATAATTCCTACAATTTCCTCCAGTTCCTTTAGCTCCTCAGGACTGTACCTGTTGCAATCATTAAATCTGTGACATCATTTAGGTTGAAATAATTCATGCATGATAAACATGACTTTTAAAATTTTTGTTTTCTAGTTTGAAATTTAAATATGTAAGTTCTGGCAAAGGCAAGTCAGTGGTGGTCTTTGCCTTACATTTATTTAAGTTGAACGTAACCTGGCTAAAGTTTGCAGATAATGCTGGTTTAAGATTATCTCATATCAAAATAGGAAGGTGCAATCAGTGTTTATCTGAAGACTGAATTTTAAGTGTTGCTTTTCAAATCATTCTGGCTAGATGGTAATCTTGGATATTTATTCAGCTGGTTAATGCTGTCTGACAGCAAGTTCTTACTCGTTTATTCAGTTCATTGCGGGAAGTACAAAGAACATTTGTTAGTTTTCTCTCTCTTTGGAAGGAAGAGTATGTTTCTCAAAGCATCATTTTTATACTTCCAGCATCAAAGCAAGACCTGACACCTGATCCAGGAACTCTGATGATCTCTTGCCATCCACACTAGCAACCAGATTTAGGTCTTCCACACCATACCTAGGTCTTTGCACCTGACTTTTTCTTTGGTGATACACCACTGAGGGCCTGGAAGAAGCTTGGAGGCTAGGCAAGTCACTTTGGTGAAGTTTAAATATGATTAATCTGGACTGAGGAGTACAATTTATGCCTTTTACAAAATCTAATTGTATAATCAAACTTTTAAATTCGTGTGTAACGAGACCTTTAAACTTCAATGTTCTTGAGAAGGCTTCTCCCTGAATCACACCATCAAAGCTTCAGTGTTGACTAGATTACTGTCCATCCATTCTTTCTCCAACCCACTTACTTGATTTTCAGTCAGTGCTGATCAATGCAGAGAGAAAGAAAAGAACAGATAAAGTAATTTTGTTTTCTTTTCCCATGTTTTCTCCCCTTAAATGTCTCAATTTAATAAGGTAGCAGAGTTCTTTGTTAATCCAAAAGAAACCCATGTTCTCTAAATTATTTAGCACTTCGTTAATTCTGCAGTTTTCCAACATTAAGAGCACCTTGTGATAACATAAATATTGCTAAAAACTATGGATTTGCAGAAAAATTGGACAGCCCCTATTGCTTTCTATAGTACTAGTTTAATCTGTTAAGTATATTGGGGAAAATCTTGACTAAGCGGTACTTGACTTGCAACCTTTGTGTAGAAATATGCTGCATATTTGAAGGTTATTTAAACTCCAGGTAATCCCCTGTTTTTTAAGGAAATGTTAAGCACCATATAATTGAAAAAATAAAGCACAATCATGTCCCACAGAAACAATCAAAGCACCATCTCATTTCAGAATCCCTTTGGTCACAGATATAGTAAGAAATGACAGACAAATGGCCCACAAAATGGCAATGAGACAAAATTGTACTGGATTATCTTAAAAAAAAATCAAGAATAGTAGTCTGATAGAAAGTACAGTTAATTGCATAGTAACTTGGATACTTAAAAGTTTAAAAGTAAAAAATGAATATTCAGTAATGTTAAAAATAATGAAAAAAGAATGTTATTAAAACTTGAATAAATCAAGGTGTACCTCTGTATATTCCTGAGATTTTGTTGCTCATCTAGAACTTGATTTTTATGCTGCTTGCATTGGTGTATACAGCCAGTGTAACATCATTAACTTTGTCTATCTGTGATTAAGGTTTGTGTTTAATTAAATTAGATTAGAGCCTGGTTGACCTCTAGTGTAAAGCAGGTAGAATGTAACAAGGCTGTTGCCCTTGGAGATTTCCATATGATGGTAGCACATGAAATTCACTGAAGGTAATCTACAGTGATGTGATGAGGAGAGTTTTTGTTTCTGACTGGTGTCTTGGACTCTAGTTTCTCACAAGATAGTTGTGTGTAAACTGCCCTATATTTGCCCTTGTGGCTTAGCAATTTTTCCTACTAGATGGGAAAGTCAGGGATGAACAATACGGGAAAGGCAAAGAAAAGGAATTTAAATTTGATGGATTTCCCTTTCTGGTCTGTCATTGTTCCTGTGTGTTCAAAGAAACTGCTTCTAGACCATGGTTTTCTGCTTCTGTTACTATTCAGGGATAGCTTTTAAGACATAATTTTTCTGTTGAGATACATTCCTTCTCCAATAAAGGGATATCAATCTACCATAAGTTACAGCTTTCATCACAGCTATGATCTGTTTCCTGCATTTTCCTCTGGTGTCATCACAGTCCTTGAGTATTTCTCTGTATTTCAAAAATGCTGATTTTGGCAGTATGTTGAGTTGCTTAAGACACTAAAGCTTTAATTATATTGTAAATTATATTCTCCAGAGCCCTCTATTCTGCATCATCATTTGAAATGTGACGAATTATCTCTTATGAGTGTACACATTATTTGATAAAGAAATTCTTTTTATAAGTATTCTTTTAATGTTTGGTCATGCCAAATATTCCCTTTGGTGTCAAAGAGAACTAAGCAGAAGACTATAAGCCTATTATGTTTCATAAAACCGGCTACAGTCTCTCTTTTTTTTTTTTTTTTTTTTTTTTAACTTCAGTACAGAATAATTCCACACCTTCGGGTATGAATTCTGCTCTTCT